AATGAAAGAACAGATCAAAGCTCCAGCAAAAATACAACTAAGTGAAGAAAAGATAGCCAAACTATCAGATGCACAGTTCAAAACACTGGTAATAAGTATGCTCACAGAATTGATTGTGTATGGTCACAAAATAGAAGAACATGTGAAGGCTACAAAACGTGTAATAAAGGAAAACGCACAGGGAACCAACTGTGACAGGAAGGAACCCAGGACTCAAATCAATGGTTTGGACCAGAAGGAAGAAATAAACAGTCAACCAGAACAGAATGAAGAAACAAGAATTCAGAAAAATGAGGAGAGGCTTAGGAACCTCCAGGACATCTTTAAACGCTCCAGCATCTGAATCATAGGGGTGCCAGAAGGAGAAGAGGAAGAGCAAGAAATTGGAAACCTATTTGAAACAATAATGAAGGAGAACTTCCCCAATCTGGCAAAGGAAATAGACTTCAAGGAAGTCCAGGAAGCTCACAGAGTCCCAAAGAAGTTGGACCCAAAGAGGAATACACCAAGGCACATCATAATTACATTACCCAATACTAAAGAGAAGGAGAGAATCTGAAAGGCAGCAAGAGATAAGGGGACAGTAACCTACAAAGGAGTTTCCATAAGACTACCAGCTGATTTCTCAAAAGAAACCTTACAGGCAAGAAGGGGCTGGAAAGAAGTATTGAAAGTCATGAAAGGCAAGGACCTGCATCCAAGATTACTCTATCCAGCAAAGGTATCATTTAAAATAGGTCAGATAAAGTGCTTCTCAGATAAGGTCAAGTTAAAGGACTTCATCATCACTAAGCCCTTATTGTATGAAATGTTAAAGGGACTTATCTAAGAAAAAGATAAAAACTATGAACAGTAAAATGATGACAAACTCACAAGTATCAAAAACCCAAATCTAAAAAAACCAAAAACTAAGCAAACAACTAGAACAGGAACAGAATCACAGAAATAGAGATCACATGGAGGGTTATCAGCAGGGGAAGGGGAGGGGGGAGAAAGGGGGAAAGGTACAGGGAATAAGTGGCATAAACGGTAGGTAGAAAACAAGACAGGGGGAGGTTGAGAATAGTATAGGAAATGTAGAAGGCTAAGAACTTATATATATGACCCATGGACATGAACTAAAGGGGAGAATGTTGGTGGGAGGGTGATGTACAGCATGGAAGGGAATAAAGGTGAGAAAAAAATGAGACAATTGTAATAGCATAATCAATAAAATATATTAAAAATAAAAAAATAAACTGTCTGAAAACTTAGCCCCTTTGGCTGACTCCCTCCACAAAAAAAAAAAAAAAAAGAACGTGGTTAAGTTTTTCAATTCATTCTTTTTAGTGTTTTGAACAAGAGACACTGAATACCTAGCATGTGCCAACCTGGCACTGGGTGCTGTGGGTATACAGATGAATAAAACAAGACCCCTATTTGGGGAAAAACCAAGGGATTACTCAGCAAACATCCAGGAGGGGTCCAAAGTACTCAGAAGAAATTGAAGAAGGGGGTGGAATCATGGAAAGCTTCCAGGTAGAGGTGACCTCTTCTCTGAGACTCCAAGAGTGGGAAGGAGTTGGGGAACCCTGAGAACCATGTTAGGAAAGCCTTCCAGGGTCCTGCAGCTGACAAAAGCCCCTATGCGGTCCCCTAAGTTTTCTCAGAGAGGGGTCCTGCAGTATGAGTCAGCTCAGGCAGGCAGGGTGGTCGAGGACACTTCGAACAGAAGGGACCGTGTTGCAAAGAGATGGGAAGAAGTACTTGAGAGAGGTTCATCTGGAATGTAAGCTGGAAGTGTTCCAAGCTGACTCCTTAGATGCTGATGAGTTTGGAGGACTTGGTGCTGGGGCGTGGGGAACCAATGGACAGACTCAGGGATGAGGTCAGGTGAGGGTTTTAGAAAGAAAGTCCTCTAGGAAACTAGACAAAGAGGGAGGGAGAGCAGTTAAGTTTTTGAAGAAAAGAATCAGAACTTGGACCTACCCTGAAGCTTACTTACAATTTGCGGAGACAACACCCAACCTCCAGCAGCTGTGGGACACACACACACACACACACACACACACACACACACACACACATGGAGGCACCAGGACACAGCACCTGCTACCACGCATCACAGCTGAGGCAGAATCGGGAAGGCTCTGCGAACACTATGCACTTATTACAAGGTACAGGCCTGTGCCAGTGCTGAAATACAGCGTGCTGGCTCGTTCACAGCCTATGTCATGAAGAGACAGTTACAGTCCAGAGTGGTAAGCAACTCAGAGCCTTTGGGTGAAAGGGGAGGTTGGGTAATCAGCCACCCAAGTGTCTCTGGGCTCAGGGGGCCAACCCCCACCCCTGGATAATCTCCTACGCCCACTGTCTTCAGCTGGGCTAGCCCAGAAACAAACCCTGAGAAGAGGACTTAGAACAAGTAGTTCATTTGTGTCTGGGAGGGGTCCCCAGGAAGTACCAGTCCCCTACTTTTGGGAAGTGAGACAGGCCAGGGAAGGAAGCCAGCAGTGGGTGTGTTACTGAGCAGGTTGCCACCACCAGAGGCTGGGGCTTCGTCTGAGTGGCCTGGTCAAGTGGTGAGGAACTGGGTATCTATCCATCCACTCCTGTTTGTTCACGCTGAGAGCTGCTCCTAGGGGTGCCTGCCCTGCACTGGCTGAACCCAAAACTCCCCTCCCAGTCAGAGAAAGACCCAGGCAGAGAGAAAGTGCTCTATTAATTGCAGAGGGCGGAACTTCTAATTACCTGCTGATCATGATTGTAATTGTAATCTACAGGGTGCCAGTAAGCACATGTTTGATGTCTCCCTCCTGCATTAGACTAGAATTTCCCTGAGGATAGACTGACTAGTCACCACTTTACCACAAGTGGGGGTGGGAGGGGCTAGTTCAGTGTCTGGCACATGGCAGGTGCTCAACAGATACCTGAATAAATGTAATTTAGAGGTTGATAAGTTCATAGTAAAGGCCCAATTCTATCTGAGAGCTTTCTCTAGCCCTTATCTTCCTCTGTCTTCTCCTCCTCTCCCCAGCCTCCACCCTGGGATGGCAGAGCCTGCAAGCTGTTTCTGAATAGTTAGCCATCCCTCCATCCCTCCATCCCTCCATCCCTCCATCCCTCCATCCAGGTATGTATACACTTGGCCCTCACACAACACAGATTTGAACTGCACAGGTCCATTCACATGTGGATTTTTTCCCCATAAATATACAGCTGGCCCGCGGATCCCTGAGAGTTCCCCGTTTGCAGATGCAGCCAACACTCCCCATCTGTGTTTGGGAATCACAGGTATGGAGGGCTGGCTGTATGCATTGTTCTACTCCATTTTCTATAAGAGACTTCCACATCCGGGGATTTGGGCATCTGTGAGGATCCTGGACCTAATCCAAGGGAAGCATGTCCTAGGGGATGAATGTAGTTTGGGGGAGTCAAAAGTTATCTATGTGTGGATTTTCAATGGTGAGGGCGTTGGCACCCCAAACCCTGGTGTTATTCAAGGGTCACCTAACTGTATTTCCCTTCTTCTAGATTAATAAATGTCCTGGTATTTAATCTTGCCAGTGACTGTTCGGAATAAAAGGCACTTTTCCCAGACTTCTTCAAAGCCAAGACTGCCCCTGTGTCTGAGTTCTGACCACTGGTGGGACTGACAAGTGTGTCTCTCAGGGTGTGTCCTTACGGGAGGAGGTGCCCCCATGGTCTTCCCTTTCCCCCTTGCTGGCTGGGATGTGGCAGTCACGGCTGGGGCTGGAGCAGCCACCTTGGGTCATTAGGTGGAAACTGGGGCCACAAGAATTTGGAGGCTGGAAGACCCCCAGCCCCAGATGATCACGCAGCCATGCTCCACCCCTCGCTGAAACTCCAACCTTGCGTTACAGGACACAGCCCTCGATTACTGCCGCTGTTGTTTGGGGTTTTCTGTCATGCTCGGCTGAACAAACTAATCCTCAGTGACACACAGAAGGTGACTGTTAGATTGACTTCTGGGAAGAGGAGGGAATGAATGACTCCCAGACAGATCCACCCTCCTTCTGGGCTTTAAAAAGTGCTGTTCTCCCCCTGAGGAACAGCTATTCCAACAGAACCTCTTTCCCTTCGGAATGTTCCAGACATGCCCCAGGCAGGTTCCAGGGCAGGGGGCGGGGGGTTGCTCTGCCCCGCCTTCCCAAGGGTGACATCAAAGTTCTTTGGGGGTGGGGGAGGGTAAACTCCTTTTCCCGCCCAACTGGTCACAGTCACTGGGGAACAGAAAGTCTGTGCCTTCTTAGCACTCCCTCCCACAGGTTGCGGGCCAGTGGTGCGCCCCCCCCCCCCGTCCCCACTCCCCGGCCCGCACTGTGTTTGGGGGTGGATGCAAAGGCCGGTAAAATACCGGGAGACAAAGAGGCAGGAGTCACAGGAACAGCCGTGGGCACTCGGTATCGAGCGGACACAGAGATCTAAGAGCCTAGTGATTCAGAGCAGGGGCCCCGGGGGCTGCAGGAGTGGGGGAAACCTCCTCTCCCCAACAGCAGGACTCCATCCTTCCATTCGTCGTGTCCCTTCTCCTCCCCCAACCTTGGCTGTCCCAGGGCTGCCCTAGGGACCGAGCTCGGGAACCAGAGGTCTCGGAAAGCAGGCAGCCCCACCGAGTGGATCTGTCTTTCTATCCACTCACAGCTCTCGGGGCTACATTTTCCGGGAGGGGTCTGAGGGCCGGTGTCACCTTGGACGAGTCCCAGGCGCTCCTCCGACCTCAGTTTCCTTTGCGGTGCCTCGAATAGGTGGCGGTGGTTTAGCTCTCCTTAACCAGGGGCACCTGGGAGGAGGGCGGGGTGCGTGGGTGGGGATGAGGACGCAGGACCCTGCACCTCCCGACCCGGACGGGCTGAGCGGCGCGGCCGGGCTGCGGGGTGTCGGTCGCCGGGGCGGAGGGCTGGGGACCCTGCCTGGCCCCTCCCGCGGGCGGGGCGGCCCCGCGCCGGCTCCTCCCCCGCGCCCGGCGCTCGGCGCCCGCCAGGGATTAGTCGCAGCGCGCGGTTCCGCAGGTGGCAGCGGTGGCCCAGTCCTGAGCGCCCCGCCATGGCCCGCGCCCCCGGGCCGCTCCGCCTGGCACTGCTGCTGCTCGGGACGGTGGGCAGGGCAGGCCCCCGCCCCCAGGTGAGGCCGCGGGCCCCGGGAAGGGGGGCGGAGGTGCCGTAGGGTCCTGGCAAAGGCGGTGGGACTTGAGAGAAACTCCGCGACCGCAGGGGGAGGGAGCCGAGACCTCCTGGGATGCAGGGACTGCGGAGCCGGCACCCTGGGCTGGGTGCCCGAGGTGGCTTGGCAGCCGAGGTGGCTTGCCCAGCGGGCGACCGCCGCCGTCCCAGGCGAGGCGCCCGCTTCCTGGCCGCCCCGGCCCCTCTGCCTGCGAGCCAGCTGCCCCGCGGCCGCGATGCGCTGCCGACTTCTGCACCGCGTCTCCCCAGACACTTTCCCAACTCCTCCTTGGAAACCGGGCCAGCCGCCCTCCCCTTGCCCCAGCTCGCTCCCTCCCACTGCGCCCGACCCCTGCCCCGCAGTGCCTACCCCCAACCTGCACGCTTGCTGGTCAGAGACCCCAACAAGACTCTGGGAGCGCGAAAGGGCCAGGGTGTGGACACCCTGCTCCATTACCCCTTACCAGCCCCCCAGCACAGGCTTTGACTCATAGCCCCAGGGACGCAGCTTGTTGTCCTTCCTGGTGACCTCCCAGATGGGACTTGTCGCACACCCCCCTCCCTCCACACACCTCGCCCGCTGCCAGCCCCTGCTGCAGACAGGCAGGAGGCTCCCGCTCCTGCAGCCAGACTCCCCATACACTAGCCTAGGCCCCCACTGGACCCCTGGTTGACAACACACACCAGAGCACAGGCTGAGACACAGATACCTTGGCCTCCTGCATGCCACTGGAGAGCAGGCCACAGGGAGGACCTCTGAAGCCCCTCTTCTTGGCCTTCACTGTCTTACCTGTCTTTCCTGTCTCCAGGCTCTGGCTCTGGGGGCTGTGGTCAGCCTGCTTTTGGGAAGGGGAGTTGCCAAAGATGCTGTGAGATGCCTGAGCAGAGAGGAGGCACAGGCTTGGGGTTCCTGCCCTGTGTCAGGAACTGCCTCTTCCCATCCTCTCCCATTCCTACCCCCAGACCTAAAGAACCCAGAGCTTCGGGGACTGGGCCCACACAGGCCTTGAAGTGTGTCCCAGCACAGGTGGGAGGCAGGATCGGGGCCACTGCCCTGGGAGGGCCTAATCTACCCCTTGACAATCCAGATGTGGGGACACATGTGCCTCCCAGCTAAGGTTCCAGCACCTTTTCAGCCCTCAAACTTCTTCCCAGGTTCCCTCCCTCTCCCTGCCCTCCAGCCAGCTGCCCGCCCTAGTGCAAGAGACACCTTTGCCTCCCACAGTGTCTCCCCCAAGACCCTCAGCTGGGCCTTGGCTTTCCTGGTGCACTTGGGATCTTTCTGGAGCCAGGACTACAGACCAGTTACGTGCTTCTCTCTCACCTTGGACTCCTCCCCTGGCTGAGAAGGGATGGGATGGGGTTTGCAACCTGCTCCAGACCAAGTTTGCAGACTGGTTTGGATTAAGGGAAGAGGAGAGGTTCTGGGGGCTGCCTGTCTTCTCCCCAAAGCGCCTTCCTTTACCCAGAGGAGAGGGGCTCGTTGAACCTGCCCTTTCTTCTAATCCCCTCATTCCTCAACCCCGGGCCAAGGGCAAAAGCCAGAGATGTCTTGGCACCATAACAAGGCTGAGAGGCAGAGGAGGGTAGGATGAGCCAGGCTCTGAGCAGAGAGGGTGGAGCCTCAGGGTACGCTCTTGTAGGGGGACCTGAGCATCCCTGGCTGCCATAGAGATCTGAGGGACAGGGACTTTGAGATTAGACTGCAATAATTGTGACACAACTTCATGCCCACATGTAATATTCTAATAAATGGTAAATTTTGCATTCTGTTTTCTATTCATGAGGTTGGCAAGACTAGAGGTACTCCATGCCACTGATGAGGGGACAAAAGCTCAGAAAAGAAAGACGTGTTCCCTGTGTAAGGTGACCCAGCTGGTCAGGAACAGAGAGGATCATGGGGTCCGCAGCTGGGCTCGTGCCCAATACCTGCCTACCCGGGTGGGACTGGAGGAACGTCAGAGAGTGAGAGTTCCGCCGTCACGTCTGGCCAGGCTGGAAGCAGCTTCCCTGCAGGCAGACTGTGGCTAAATTGAGCTCTGAAGAAGGGAGCAGAGGCCACGCTATTGCTGCTGGGAAGGACCATCCCCTCCCCTATTCCTTACTTTCCCAAGAGCCCTGTGAGGAAGCTGTTCTGCAGGGGGACAGGCAGGCCCTTGACACCCAAAATTACCAGACAAACCTGGGTTCACATATTGAGTCTGCTATTAGCTGGCAATCTTGCAGAGGACCGCTGACCGCCTGGAACCTCAGTGTCCTCCTCTGTAAATAGGGACTACAGGCTCTCCCACACAGGACCGTGGAGAGGACTGAGACACTGGCACCTGAGGCAGCAGCTTCTGTCACTTGGCAGAACTGACCCATTCATCCTCCGGAACCTGGAAGCCTTCTCCAGGGCAGCAGGATAGGGCTTGGAGAGGGGCTCTGGGAGGCCCCGGGTCCGCACTCCCCTGAGGGGTGGCGGGAGTCCCGGGTGCATAGTGTCCAGCATGGACATTGTTCTGAGCAGGGTTTGCTCCTGCACATGGACCTAGGGGGGTGCTGGGGCAGGAACAACCAGGAAATCACATCCTGCCCTCTGGTGCCACCTGGTCTATGCAGATTCCTCTGTGTGTGTGTGTGTGTGTGTGTGTGTGTGTGTGTTAGAGAGATACAGAAATAGAAGCAGGGAGGGAGAAACAGAAGGAGACAGACAAGGGGGTGAGGGCTGTGTGGGCCTGTCTCTCTGTGTCTTTGTACATGACCCTGTATGACAGTTTTCTTGTGTGCGATACATCTCAGCATGTAATTGTGTCTGACGGTGTATATGTCTTTGTGACTTCATGTGTGATACTGTGTCAATGGGAAGGTGTGTGTATGTGACATCTTTGTGTGTGACTGGGTATCTGCCAGCATGAGCCCGTGTGTGGGTGACAGAGTGCTTGTCACAGAGTGTGTGGCTGTTTCTCTGTATGTGTGTATGTGACAGTGTGAGTTGAGAATATGTTAGTTGGGGGTGTGTGTGTCTTGAGGACAGTGTCTCAGCATGTGAGTGTGTATCTGACTGTGTGTGTGTGCCAGAGGGCCTCTGGGTCGTGTCTCAATAAGTAAGCATGTCCGTGTGTCCGTGTGTCTGGGTGAGGAATGTTGTGCGTGTGGGAATGTGTGTGCCGTTTTCCTTTCCCTGTCGTTCAGCTCTTGTATCTGGAACCTTTAAGACAGAAAAAAGTGAGGGCGGGGGCTGTCTCAGAGCCAGGGGTCAGAGAGCCACACCCCTCCAGGGCACGGGGGCCAGTAGTTTGGGCTCTGGGAAGTGGCCAGAGAGGAAGGAGCCTTGGGGTCCTGGAAGGAGCCCTCCTTCTTTCTTCTTTTGGGAGGCCCTCTCCCATTTTTCCCACCTTCGTGGCCTAGGGAGGCAAGGTCTCGTTCCTCCTTCCCTTCAGTCAAAATGGTACCTAGAAAAGGAAAGAATCTGAAGAAACTGCAGGAGGAATTTTTCAGGTTAGCAGCCAGTCTTTGGAGAGGGTGCCTTTCCGGGGTGTGGGTGGGGACACCCAGCATCTCAGGAGTTTCCCACCACTCCACCTACATCCTTCTTCTCTGCTCCTCACACTGCCCACTGCTACAGGGCTCGTCAACTCATAAGGCTCTTCACCGACTTTGTCTGGCTGGATCTGTGCAGGGGCTCTTTGAGAGCAATGATGCGCCCATATTATAGGTGAGAGAGCTCAGGCCCCAAAAGATGCAATGTGTCCCTTCGATCCCAGCTGAGATTTAAGCCAAGCGGTGGGGAGGCCAGAGGTCCTGGGAGTCATCCTGTTCTGTGCTTGCACACCATTCCCTCCCGGCATCCTTTGTTACCTCCTGCTTCCTCCCCAAACTCCTGAATCTGAGAGACACCCCCTCCTATTGTAAACTTCATACCATGTGCCTTCACCCCCCTCAGAGAGATCCCATGAAGCCTGGCAAGTCCCAATTTTTAAAACTGCCAGCTAGACCTCACCTAGGCCCACAGGCCCCCTCATGGCTGCCCTGTGTTCTGGGCCAGCTCTGCTGCCCTGTGAGGGGAAGGGGCACCGACCACTGCGTCCTCCCCGCCACCCAGCTGCCCCAGCCCCGCCTCACCAGTCTTGGAGCAGGGCCTCATAGCACAGGAAGATGAAATGCAGTCGGGGCTGGTGGTCAGAGCCTTGTCCCCCCTCACTGTTTCCTGCCCTTGGGCATGGAGTCCCCAGTGTCCCCACTTGGCTTTGCCACCAGCTATGGTCGCTGCTGGAAGATGTCACAGATTAAGCAGGTGATTGGTGCTTGGTGTGAAGAGTTTGTTGATCCTAAAAGTGGTGGAGGGGTGGGGTGCAGACTCCCCAGGAAACCAGGCTGCTTGTTCCTCTCTTTCCTCCCCCGTAAACAGCAGAAACTGTGAGAGCGGCTGCCACCGACTGTGCATTTTCCCTGGCCCAGGGGCCACTGTAAGCATTAACTCACCTGATCCTCGAAACAAGCCTGGGTGGGTAGGGACTGTTATTTCCATTTTGCACATGTGTAAACTGAGGCTAGAAGTTAAAACTCTTGCACAAGTCACAGACTTAATTTATTGGGGATTAATTTATTAATTCAGTGTCAGGCCCAGGTCTGGGCCCAAAGCCAGGGCTGTTCCCCTCCACTGTGTTAACTGAGCTCACCTGAGCACCTGGGCCCAGCCGCACTGGGTGGCCACCAGCCCCATCCCAGACCGGATCCTCGCCTCTGTCCCGGGCTCTTCCCGCTGCTCTCTTCCTGCCCCGGTGAGTCCTCCTGAACATCATTCCAAGGCTTTCCCCTGCTCCCCAGACCATCAAGGTCCCTACCTGTACCTTCGTCCCTGCTGGGTTCTTCTGCTGAACCCCTTGCTAGCTCAGTCTAACCCCCACCCGCCCTTAATTCACCTCCAGCTCCCCATCCCCGTGGGGTCTCCAGTCTATACTGAGCCTGGCCCCAGCCACTCCCTGAGCACTCCCACACACTGCCTTCTCTGTTGTGTCCTGCAGACCTCACCCCACCCACGAGTGAGGGACACTTCCTGGCCTGGGGATTCTCTCAGACCAGAGCTGTGTCCTACATCTTTGTGTTCCTGTGTCTGCCCATCCTTCCTGATTGCTCCCCAACACCGCCACCCAGAGTCTGACACATTCTGGCTTCCATGGATACCGGGTTGGGGAGAGGCCTGTGGCCCAGGTGACTTGTTGGGGAGGGGGAGGAGCAGTACTGGGAGCCCCCATGCTGGTGCAGGAAGATGACAGGATCCCCACTGTCAAGAAGCTCTGTTTGAGGGGAGAGACAAAGACCCTGTTCTTACTTGTCTCTGCATGTTCTCACCACACTTTACTTTTTAAATTTATTTTTAGTTATACTTGACATATGATATTATATTAGTTTAGGAGTACAACATAGTGATTTAACATTTATATAACTTATGACATGATCACCACAACAGTCTAGTGACCATCTGTCAAAGTATGTGGTTGTGATGATATTATTGATTCTATTCCTTATGCTGTAAGTTATGTCCCCATGATTTCTTCATCTTATAACTGAAGCTCCAGTCTGAAGGGAGACATGACCCTGCCCTCAGGGAGCCCCAGTCTGAGGGAAACCCAGCCCAGCTCTCAGGGACCCCCAGTCTGAGGGGAGACATGGCCCCTCCACTCAGGGAGCCCATTCTGAAGGTAGAGGTAGAGCAGGTGCAGGGCTGCCTGTGTGTTGAAGCTCCCTGGGGTGTTGGTGACCAGGCTGGACTTCAAGGTGCTGACCTTAGCCTTTAACCCCACATCCCCTCCCATCCTGAGACTTCTGGTTTCCATCGGCTTCCTTGTCCCCGCTCACTGGCCCAGATGTACCTTCTGCCCCAGTTCCCAGCAATGACCTTGCTTCCTGCCTGTTTTCCTCCTAGAAAGACCTATCAGGGGAAATGTCCCAGCCTCTCTACCCTCCCACTCAGGCAGCTGCTGCATTCAGGGGCTGGGAGAAGAAGGAAAAGGGATTTGGGGGCGGAGCTACCACACCCACTTCAGTGAAGACTGCACAGACCCCTCAGTTGTAGCTGAAATCATGCCACTGCCTTTGCTGTTGTTGAATTTGATTCTTTGTTTATTTTATTTATTTATTTAACAAACACACTTGAACTTTGCCCTGAGAATAGCTCCATCCTTCAGGTAGCCCATGTGGCCTCAGCACACTTACTGCAGGAAAGTAGCTGGGGCTCAGGCAAGCTTGGTCCCTCCCTGGGGATTCCTGTGGGGCAGGGACCAGCACGTGACAACCTGTGTCTTTTATGGGCAGTGTTTCACAAACCAGGACTCGGCTACAACGTGGGTAGGATTACTTAAAAACCAGATCCAGTCCATGCTTAGGGCACTACCCATCAAGGATGCGAGCTTCTAAAAACAAGCTATTTTGATTTCAGCACACGCGTATATTTTGTAATTTCAAAAAGTGAAGTTTCGTCTTCAATTTTGTATAGGTCCTAAATTGTATACAGGAGTCTTCCTGGTCATCTCAGCATCTGCTGAGGGGCAGCCTCCACATGAGGAACATTTATCATCTTAAGCCTGTTCAGAAAATAAAATATAAAATAAAATTAAATAAAGAAATAAAGTAAAGAAACAGTCCCAAGACATATCTAAAGGAAGTACACAAAAATGTTCAGAAGGGACCATTCTCACTTTGGTGGGTCCATTTGGGTCTCTGTGCTAAAAAGCCAGTTCTGTTACCTTACCTGAAAATTGAGGTTTGTATTCTTTGATTCACACATGGGGGACCCGTCCCATTACAGATCTCATCTCCGAGTTCTGGAACTTTTCTGACTCCTTCACCACATGCCCTCAGGTCTCCTCCCTGTCTAGTTGATAGAAGCTCAGCTGAATATTGATTTGTGTTGTTATGTTAAAAGGGGACACTGGGGGGTTGTGCTGCCCCCCCCCCACCTGATTGCTTTGTGTGGGAGGAATCTAATTACCAGGCTCCGTGGCATTGAGTCCCGCCACACTCACCACCCCGCAAGTACTCCAGCACAGTCACTGTTCTGGGGGACTGCAGGGTCTAGCCTTAGCTCTGCTCCCTGGGGTGCTGTGTGGCCTTGAATGAGTCCCTCTCCCACACTGAGCCTGCACTTCCCCTTCTGGAATGGTTGAAAGTGTGAGGATTTTGTGGGCTGGCCGACTGGGTCCTGGAGAGGAGGCCCTGGCAATCACGAAGGCTGGGTTTCTCAGGAGCTTTCCCTTAGGTGGGGTGGGGTGAGAGTGAGGTGAGGTGAGGTGAGAGTGACACCCACTCTCCCCTCCCTCCCCCCGACTCATCCCCTAGCAACGTCGAGTTAGTAGACATTTGCTGGGCACTGCCACGCATGAAACTGTGCTCCAGTCCCCTGGGAAGGATAAAGATGTAAAAACATCCCTCTGAAGCGTAACTTGTTCCCTCCGCCTCGTGGAGTTTGAGGCCCTAAGGTCTCCTGGACACCCAGAAACCAAGTGTATTGGGGGTTGGGGTTAGAAAAAAGGTTGACTGGAACCAAAGGGCCCCCCATTTCTGTCTTCTCCCCAGGGTGCCACTGTGTCCCTCTCCGAGACAGTGCAGAAATGGCGAGAATATCGACGCCAGTGCCAGCGCTTCCTGATTGAGGCTCCACCCCCAGCCACAGGTGAGTCCAGGTGGGGCCCTCACCTGGCTAACTGCAAGGAGGCTTTGAAGGTCCGTCCCCAAGCCTTGGTTGGGCATCATATGCCTCTCTAGGATGCCACATCTGCCCTGTGCTTCGGATGTCATCTTGCTGCTGTCTATTTCCCCATGTCCCCGGCGTGGGCCCCTCAGGAGCAAGACCTGGCCTATCCATTCTTTGTCTTCCTCAGCACTTCCCAGTCTGCACAGGGGCTGGAGGCCCAACCAATGTATTTATAGGAATAACTGTTTTGAGGGGCTGGAGGATGGGGGGTGGTTTTTAAAGAGCACAGGATAGGAGACTGACAGGCCTGAGTTCAAATCCTGATCCTGCAATCATAACACAGTGATCTTAGGAAGGTTATAGCAGCCACGTAACCTGCCATTGCCCCCCATCTGCGGTGTATAATTTAAGAATAGTCCTGTGGGGATTGCTTATTGAGCACTTACTATGCTCAGGTTATCTATGTAACATACATCATCTGTCCCCACAAAGTCCTGTGGAACCTGGATCACCCCCATTTTACAGATGAGGGAACAGAGAGAGATTAAGTAACTTGCTCAAATTCCCACTGCTGGTAAGTGGCCTAGTCTGCTTGCATGGCACCTGCTGGGGGGGTAGAGTGCTGGGCATACAGAAACTGCTCAGCAGAGGTTAGCAGAGCGGAGGTTTCTGCCCCACCAGCTGCCAGCCCCTGGGTGGGGGGCGGGGGGGGAAGTGCCTCAGCCACGCCAGAACTCAGGACCATTCCCCCTGCACCCAGGCCTGTTCTGCAACCGGACCTTCGATGACTATGCCTGCTGGCCGGACGGGCCACCTGGCTCCTTCGTGAATATCAGCTGTCCCTGGTACCTGCCCTGGGCCGACAGTGGTGAGTCCCCTCCCCCACACATGGACCACCCTTCCCGTGTCCAGGAGGCTGGAGGTGGGGGGTGGAGTTGGAGTGGGGTGCACACTGTTTCCTTGCCACTGGGACACAGCCTTCCCCACCCCAGAGGCCCTTTGGGCCTCCTTAATGGTGTCCGTAAGGGGAAGGGGCAGCAGGGGGTATCTGATGTAACGTGGGCCTGAGGCCTATGCAGGCAGGTAGGTGGCGGGAGAAGTGTAGGGTCTGATTTAAGGGAGAAATGTGAGCCCTTCATCCAATAGTCAGGAGAGGAGCCAGGTGGGAACAGATCCTGGAGTTTCAGGGAGGGGCATTACCCAGAGGTGTCATTGCGCTGGTGTGTGTGTGTATGTATGTGTGTGTGTGTGTGTATGATAGGTGTTTGTACCTGCCCACCTTCTGACTCTTCAAGGCCTCAATAGTCAGCTGAACCCAATGGGAGGAGTGACCAGGGCATTAGTGGGGCTGTCCCTCAGGCCCTCCCAGCTCACTCCTGCCTGCAGGGGACACCTGGCCTGGGAAAGGTGTGACCAGATAAGTGAGAAGGTCACTGGAGTACAGAGACCTATGGAGGCTGCAGGGGGAGCTCTGACTGGAGGGGTACCCCCCACCCCTACCCCATCTATTTCTGGTATCAGGGGGGCTAACAGGACACAAGCACCCTGCCCCAAGGAGCTCATCTCTATAAGGGGAGAAAAGACACTGTCTTATAATAATAACTGTAGTAATAGCTGATATTTACTGAGTACCTACTATGTGCCAAGTATTACCTAAAAGCATGGTGTTCATTTAATCTTTACAACTACCCCACGGTCATATGCTCCTTGTACAGATGAGGAAGCTAAGGCCTCAGAGAGTTTAAGCCACTTGCTCCAAAGGGTGTAAATGGCAGAGCCAGCATTTGGACCCAGCCTGTGATCTTAACCACAGTGCCTTGAAGGGACCTGAGACCAAGCAGAAACCAGCCTAGATGCTAGTGTGAGAATGAGGCCATACTATGGGAAGCCAGCAGTCTTCCTGGAGGAGGTGGCCTTTTAGTGGAGCATCAGGGCGCCTGGCAGGGCCTGGCGCGAGCTTTACCTCAGACTCAGGACTGAGGTGACGTGAAGCCCCAGAAAAAGTCCTAAAGAGGCTCTCTCCTTCTGCACCCTCCAGGGACACCCGCCGCACCCTGAGGTGCACAGGGGGAGGCTGGACCAGGAAATAGGCAGGCACCTGGCTAACACACACACAGTGGCCCTTCACACTCACTTTACGTACCCGTACTCATTTAGTATTCACAACAACCCTGTGAGGCCAGTACTCTGATTATCTTCCCATTTTACAGAGGCAGAAACGGAAGCACAGAGATGCTAGCTGACTTTTCCAAGCTCGCACAGCTTGTAAAAAGCAGGATTCATTCAGGAGTCTGGTTTAGAATCAGTGTATAATTGTCACACCAGGCCTCCTTGAGTGTGTGTGCACGCACGTGTGCATGCATGCGTGTGTTCCTGGGCCTCTGCTGGCTGGGCACAGCTTGAGGGAAGCTTGAAGGAGACAGTGAGCTACTTGCCCTCTTTCTAGAGATGGGGAAGTTGAATTTTACAATCTGATAGTTCTGTTTGCCGGTGTTCTGTGTGGCTGTGTGAGCTTGAGCGAATTCTCAGACCTCTCTGTGCCTCAGCTGGCTCCCCTGGGTAAAATTTAATTTATCTCACACACCCTATTTACCTCGCCCACCTCCCGAAATACCTGCACTTTCCCTGCCTCCCAAAGGTTTGGGACGGCTGCCTGGCCAGCCTGGGCTGCGCTTCTAGACCCCCCGGAGCCAGGCTCAGGACAGGGCCCATCACTCAGCACTAAGCTGCCCCCAGCTCTGCCCGCTGCTCTTGGCTCCATCCATCACCTTTAATTTTATTTGAGCAGGAAATAGGTCCTGGCGGTGCCCGTTTATGAGCGAACACAGTTTTATTGCTTTCTGCATGAAGATAACGGCCACTGCACAGGCCCCCTGCCAGCCTCCACCCCCACCCTGACTCACCAAGCTAATTCATGCCCTTTTCTGACACTCAGAATCACCGCCTCCCCTCCCTTGTCCCTGAGTTAGGGGTCTGGCAGAGACACCCACTCGGGCTCCTACAGTGTAGTCGCTGTCTTTGGCCTGTCCTGGCCGTCCCCTGGGCAGAGGCTTGCACTGGGGGCTTCCCTTACTCCCATGCAAGGCAGGTGGGAGCAGGAAGGGCGCCATTCTAGAGCTTTCTTGGGCTGATCAGGAGTATCCTGTGAATATGGGTTAAGAGGTGGGTGGAAGGAAGGGGGTGTCTCAGGCAGGGTCCCACCAGAAACACCCTCAGCTGGGAATTAGAAGAGAATTTAGTGGCAGGGTTACTCACAGAGGCTGGGCAGGGCTAAGGGGCCAATACGGTACATAAAGCACCAAGGACTACATCTCTGGGAAGCTTTGCGTCTCTACCTCCAAGTGGGACAGGAAGTGGCTATGAGGGCCACTTTGGGGAGGGCCTGTGACTACCGACTGGATCTCAGCTTCCTGGTCTGAGCTGGAGGTCACAGTGACAGAGAGGTCACCCAGCAGTCTGAAGCCACTGCCAAAACCTCAGAATCAAGGCAAGGAGGGAGCAAGGGAGAAATACCCCAGCCTCTCTCTTTCTGCCCACCTACCTTCTGCTGGTGCCTCCCATGGGTCAAACTCAGTAGAGGTCAGAGAGCCAAAGTGATGCTGTCCACAGGGGTCAGCCTTTTGGGGCATAGAGCAGGGCAGAGGAACAAGTGACTAGAGAAAGAATAAAACTCAAAACAATTCCCAGACACCTGGGTTATGTCTGTCAGAGGCTAGGAATGCCAGTGAGAACTTAGGGGTGTGTGAATTTGTGTGTTGGGGAGAAGGGGTGACCTCTCACCATGGGGCTGAAGAAGTCAGCTCAGTAGCGCAGGAAGTGCACTGAGGGAGGTCAGAGCCATCTCTTTTGCCTGGGGTGTGTCAGGAAGGCTTCCAGACAGAGGTGACACGGGGCCAGGCCTGAAAGAACAGGCAGGTAGAGAAGGGGGGAAGAGGGTCCTCCAGGGAGGGAGGACATCCAGGCACCATCTTGGAGATGGGGCCAGGCCTCAGGGCTATACAACATCCCAGGGAAGGCTGCTGTGAAATTCTGGCCCCTTTGATTCAGGACTTGAGACTCTGGATCTCACAGAGAGGGCAGGGGCAGATAAGTTGTGGAGGGAAAGTATTCAAAGGAGATGCTTAGTGTCAACAAGATTTTCTCTGTAACCAGGGGGCCAGAGTGGCCTCAGAGAGCCTCTTGCGGCTTGAGGGCTCTCCAACAGCCTCCGTTTACCCACAAACAGCTGATCTGCTTGTTACAAAACATCCTGGTCTCATTAGCTCTACCCCCTCCTGATCTCGCTACCTGTTTGTTATCTTAGTTCTAATGATATGAGAGTCATGAAATGCTTTTAAAATGGTTTATCACTCTCTCAGGTCTTAGAAACTCTGACAGGTGCCTCCCTTGAGTCACGTTGAGTGTGGGAGCTTTCACAGCAGGCAGGGGTTGCCACAGGGAGACAGAGGCCTGAGCTTGGCTTTGGAGGAGTTCTGTCAGAGGTGGTGTCCAGAGACCCAGCCCCAGCCTCAGTGAAGGGATGCCCTTTTGAGAAATTGTGGTGGGGGCAACAGCAGGGCTGCCACTGTGACCATGATCTGAAGGCCTCCTGTGCACCAGGCTCTTCACACACTTTATCTCCTAATCCTCACACCACAGACCTGGGAAGTCATTATGGTTCCTATTTACAAATGAGGAAACTGAGACCTGAGGCATCTGCTCAAGGTCCCGTCGCTGGTTGAACGCAGAACCAGGATTTGAACTTGAGTCTGTGTAGTTCAGAACTTGAGCTTCTCTTCCTAGGCCATAATGTGATGTCCTACTCCTCACCCCCACCTGCACCCCAAGCTGATGCCTTCAGTTCTAGCCCTGCCTTTGCCTGCATTCCACCACTTTGGGGAGGGCCTGTGACTACCGACCGGATCTCAGCTTCCTGGTCCGTAAGATTGCCCCCCACCGCCCCCCTTCATCCTTGCCACTGTTTGTCGTTGCCAGGGTGCTGGAGTTAATGGATTCATGAGCAGCTCTCTGCAGCCCTGTGTCCACGTGGAAGGGTGGCTGTTAGCTTGATTACAGACGCCGCTGTAGTTTCCGGGAGGGGAAGTGTTTAATAGGGGGTTTTATTTCCAACACCAGGGTCTGACTTAATGAAATATCCCTGGGCCTCCTGGCATGCGGCCGGCTGCCTCTGGTGTTGACAAGACCAAAGCCAAGCCCCTGGCTGATTTACCAGCAGCTCTTGGGCCAGATAAAGCTGAGCCGATAAGCAGGGCTGTGCCTGGACCCACTCCACCCCCAGCCATGATGGGTGTCTGGGGACCATAGCCCAGCCAGGAACCAGCCCTGGCTTTTAATATTTGCTACTGCTGAAGGATAATTGACAGCCACCCTCATATAGACTCTCAGGGACGTGGTGATCCCTAACGCTCTGCCAGTAACACACACATCTGTCTGTGCGCATACCACCTTCCCATCCTCCCAGATGGCCCTGAACGAGAGCCTGGAAATGATGCTGCCTGTGGAGGGTCTGCACTGGCAAGAGGACCTGCTGGGAGGGTACTGAATGTTGGCCAGTGCGAGCCTCAGGAAGGGCAGGAAAGAAATGGCACAAGGCCATTGTTGACTGTTAGCAGTGAGTGGGGCTGCTAACTTTTGGCTCTTGGAGGCAAAGATCTGGGGGTGTTAATCCTGACTCTGCTGCAGCCTGGCTGGCCGATTTTGGGCAGGTCACTTGGCTTTCTTAGAGGCTCCATTTCTCCACCTGTAAGATAGGATTAACTGTGCCTACCTCCTCAGGTGCTTGTAATGCTCAAAGGTGTCAACAGCAGGTGTTCAAAACAGATCCTGTGAGTGCACAGCCTGCAGATAGGGTGTGTAAAGGGGCAGGACGAGTGGGCACCAGCAATTGCGCAGTGCCAGGCTCTGAGCCAGCTGCGGCGTGAGGTAGTATCAGGGTCACACTGCTGCAGGCTGAGTCCTGGGTGAGTGAGCTGTTTGATGGTTTGTGCCCTGTGGCTGTGTCCTCTCCCTCCCCAGGCCCTCTGCCTCCCTCTTTTCTCACCCCAAATGGGCTGCCAGAGAGGCTCTGACATCAGTCTCATTCCCCATGGGTCAGCCCAGATCCCCAGCACCACTCTGGGGTTATCTACCACTGGTTTGTCCAGAAAAAGACTTGACCTCTGATAGGAAATTCCAGGCATCCACCCAGCAGATAAGAGACACATCTGGGGGGCATTCGGGGCCTGAGATGACCCTTCAGTCGCTAAAATCAGACCACGTGCTGCCCTTGCTGTGCCTTTGTCTTTGCCTGATTTTGCTCATAAATGCATTAGGGGGTACTGGACATAGCTCTTCTCGCTGCTGAAAGTTCTGCCATTACACTCTCAGGTTTTCGTTTCTCTTCCAGGTGAAGGTCTCTTTTAAGTGCGGGGCTGTCTAGCAGCGAGGCTGCAAGCTGACTGACCTCGCTCTATTACTAGATACGCCTGTCTCGTGAAGGGGGACCTGGTTCGGGGTTTGCTTATGGCAGGGAGCAGGAGAAACAAGGAGAGCAAGCAGGGAGGCTGCCCTGGAGGACTGGGGGGTCAATGTTAGGGAGTTCAAAGGTCTCACTGACAGGCCCTGCAGGTGCCTGACAGGGTGGGAAGATGGCTGTCACCAGACCCTGCAGTGAAGGTTCCTGCAAATTACAGTGGTCGGGGGTGGGGTGGAGGGCTTGTGGACTGTGAAACAGCCCCTGTCGTAATGACCACATCCCTCCTAGGCCACAGTGATGTAGCCTCTTGGGCCACAATGCTCCCACAGACAGGATTCTCATGGCCACCTCTCCACCTGCAAACCTGCGCAGCCACTGCCACCCAGAGCTTTGGTGGCATGTCCGTTCTCTCTCCTTCACTCTGCTCCTTCCTCCCCCGGCTGGGGAGGCTAGTCTTTAAACCTTTTAGTCCTTTAGAATTTTTAAATCTCTTAAAATCTGTACTGACTCCAGCTTCCCTCCTTGATCACCCTATGCTACTGACTGCCCCTCCCCATTTTGTCCCCAGTTTCCTGGCCCTGGGGTCACACTCATTCTCATGCAGGGAGATCGCAACCCTTTATCCCCTCTTGCGACTTCACAGCAAACCTGGGCCGCACCACAGGTCTCCCTGGGGAGGTGGACAGTGGGGCATGGCCCTGGGGGACTGCCTCAGCATCAGGTGCTAGCCAGGATGTAAGTGAATGGGCACAGCTCAGAGGGCCTGTGTTTGATCTCTCTTGGTTTGCATTTGTGCTCTTCCTTTTTGAGCTCATTTTAGTTCTTATTCTGTGAGCATCTTGGTTCCCTAAAGCCAGGAAATGTGCTTCTTTCCTCCTTCAGGAGACAGTTCCTTGACAACAGGGCCATGTCTCCCCTCAGACTGGGGCTCCCTGAGGGCAGGGCTGGGTCCCCCTCAGACTGGGGCTCCCTGAGGGCAGGGCTGGGTCCCCCTCAGACTGGGGCTCCCTGAGGGCAGGGCTGGGTCTCCCTCAGACTGGGGCTTCCTGAGGTCAGGGCTGGGTCCCCCTCAGACTGGGGCTCCCTGAGGACAGGGCTGGGTCCCCCTCAGACTGGGGCTCCCTACTTCAGGGCCTCATCTCTTTCTTCTTCTTAGGAGCTCCCTACCCACTCTTCCTCAGGTGTGCTCCGTGCAAGGAGTGTTGGATGGAGATCTCAGGACTGAGTCCTGAGACTTAACTCACAGCAGGTGGTGCTCAGGCTATTAGGGCCACTCCTGGTCCACAACAGACCTTATCAGTAGTGTGATTTGAGGCTTGGGACAAGGACACAGAAATAGGATAGTTATGTCCTCTCAAAGATAGGGCTTCATCAGATTGTTACAATGTAGCCATGAGGAAAGGTTGAGGGCAGGGAAGGTGGCTCACACCTTGGGGACTGCCTTTCCTGTCTCTGAACCAGATGGGCATATGGCAAACCAGGAAGGCGTGTGTGTGTGTGTGTGTGTGTGTGTGTGTGTGTGTGTGTGTGTGGCAGGGGGGCGGTTTATGTAAGAAGTGTTAACTAACTCCAAGAGGTCAGTCCAGGGGGATCACTGTGCCCCCCACCATGGAGTGGATTGAGAGGTATGTGGCATTGGGCCAAGGCTTAGCTCACACGTGTCTCCACCCCAGTGCTGCAGGGTCACGTGTACCGGTTCTGCACAGCTGATGGCCTGTGGCTGCACAAGGACAACTCCAGCCTGCCCTGGAGGGATGTGTCAGAGTGTGAGGAGTCCAAGCGAGGGGAGAGAGTGAGTTGAACATAGAGTCTCTGAGCCCCCGAGGGGTGTCAGGGTCCCAACTTCATTGGAGCAGGGACCCTGGGCACTGGGTATGGTCATTGTCCATCCCACTGCCTGTGGGGACTTTGAACACCATGCTTTCTGGACAGAGGTGGCGTGTGTTCACCTCTGACCTTGAAACATGGTCCTGGAAATCTGGAGACCATCTTCATCTTCTTCTGGAGACCATAGTTTATTCTTCTTCTTAGTTCTCAGGTGCCTGGTGGGGCCAGACTTGGGGTCCCACTTCTACCCCATTTCATGGGAAAGAAGCATGTGGGAGAGGGGGGCATGGGGTGCCCCAGGTACACTGTGTCCCTGTGTGCACACAGAGCCCCCTGGAGGACCAGCTGCTGTCCCTTTACATCATCTACACAGTGGGCTACGCGCTCTCCTTCTCTGCCCTTGTCATCGCCTCAGCCATCCTCCTCGGCTTCAGGTAAGGGGCCTGGGGCCTCATCTCAACTCCCTGCTCTGTCCCCGGATACAGGAGGGAACACCAAACCAAAGGAACAGTGCGGCAGGTTCTTCTCTTAAGAGGTCTCCGGAGAGCTCACACCATAGAATATGAGGCTGAAAACACGGGATCTGACGCTATGTGCTCAGTCTAATCTCTACGGTTTAATGTGTGCATTTAATGATACTGTAAAAAAGGAAAAACAAACACTACATGTACACACAAAGCCTCCTCCCCAGACCTTAACAGTGGATGGTAGAATTAGGGAAGTCCTATCCAGGAAGCATGTGTAACTCAAATAATCAGGAATTTAGTTTTAGACAAAACCTCAGGGGTTTAGAGATTCTGCTCTTTGGAGCTTGTCAGCCCCCCTAGAACGGTCTTCCTAGATGAGCCTCCTCCAGAGTACCAGGTTCTTCCCACTCCCTCTGCACCTGGTAGGGATGGCCAGGGGGCTGGCTTCAAGGGCAGGAGGGATTCTGAGGGCAGGGAGCTCAGGATTCCCATCAGCAGGAACAGGAGAGGCGGCAGCCTTCCTGTCTCCCCGTGGTACCTGGCACAGTCAGTGCTGGGCACACAGTCAGTGCTCAGTGCATTCACTCAAGGAATGCATTTTATTATGAAGCATTTCAGTGATTCGAAAACACAGTGGCTGATACTGTGATCCCATGCACATACCGTCCAGCCTGAGAACCACACAGTTATGCTTCCCAGGGTAATGCTCCTCCCTGCCGTGTCTCCGGAGAGAGAATCCCTAATGGGGCTGCTTACCAGGCATCTCTCTATGCTTTTACCGCATTTGTAAGTATCTGTGAAAACATATAGCCTGACTTTTGCTTACTTTTCATGGCATATTGGGCATATAATCTGCAATGTTATTTTTGGCCCGACAATGTTTTTCTGAGATTCATTCATGTTGACACAGGTAGTTCTGCATCATTCATTTTAACTGTCACTCTGCACTCCATTGTATGATATAGCACAGTTTATTTCTCTCTTATTCTTTTAGTGGACATTTGAAGTTTTTCTCTTCTGAATTATAAACCTTGTTACAATGAACATTCTTACCTCTGACCCCTTGTGCATTTCTCCAGGGGCACATACCTCTGAGTAGACTCACCTAATCTGAATACTGCATGCTTTTGCAAATTATTAGGTGTTGTTAAGTTGCTCTCCAAAGCGATCATACCAGTTTGCCCTCTTACCAGTAGTAAATGAGAGTTCCCTTCCCTTAATATCCTCACCACTATTTAGTATTTTCAGACCTAATTCTTGCTAATCTAAAGTATGTGAAATATCTCATTATGATTTTAATTTGCATATCTCTGATTCCTAGAGAGAGCAGCATTTTTTAAAATGTTTTATTCTGTGAATTGCTCGCTTGTAGAATGGCTTACTTTTTACTGGCTTTTTTTGGGTTTTTATTCTTATCTTAGGTATTCATTGTATATATAGTCTAGATACCAAACCAGGAAATGTCCTCTCTTAGTCTGTGGTTTTTTGTTTTTTTTTTTCACTTACTATGGTGGCTTTTATGCACGGAAGACCTTAATTTTATTGAAATGAAATATATCAATTTTATCTGTTTTTATTGATAAACAAAATTCATCAATGAATGTTATCATTGATAAAAATAATTTCATCAGTTTAAATGGTGATTTAAAAATTACCATTTTTTGCCCTGGCCTGTTGGCTCAGTTGATTGGAGTATTATCGTGTACACCAAAAGGTTTTGGGTTCAATTCCCGGTGAGGGCACATACCTAGGTTTCAGGTTCAGTCTGTGGTCAGGGCACATAAAGGAGGCAACTGATGCATGTTCCTCTCTCACATCAGTGCTTCCCTCTCTCTCTTTCTCTCTCTCTAAAATCCACAAGCATATATTTGGGTGAGGATTAAAAAAGTTATCACATTTTCTAAAGACTAAATTTTGTTATGGTCTTGTTTGAGAATCTTTCCTTATCCTGGGGTCATAAGTTTTACCATCCCTTATGGTTCTCTGATGGGTCTGGAGTGTACTTTTGTCTATGATGAAAATAAAGGTTTCATTTTCTTTTCCCATGTATGCATATAGTTCATTGTCTCAGGACCGTTTCCTGCTGGTCACCCTTTCCCCTTGGTTTGCAGTGCCTGCCCTGCCAGGCAGCAAAGGTCTGCCCTCATCTCAGAGATGCCCTCATCTCTGGCTGGGTCTGTTTCTGTATTCTTGTTCTGGTCTGTTTGTCTATGGCAGGGTTCCCTACTTTGTGGTTCTTTAGGAGTGTCTGGACTAATCTCAGCCCACTGCTCTTCTTTATAAGTTTCTAAACTTCATTTTTAAAAAGCCCAAAACTCTTAGAATTTTTGTTACAGCTATTTTGAATTTGCAAATGAATGTGGGAAGAATTTAGACCTTCAAGAGAGTGAGTCTTCCTAGCTATGAATGTGATATCTCTTTCATTTATTAAATCATTTTCAGTGATTTTAAGCAAGTTTTATTGTATTCTCCATAGAGATCTTGCCTATCTTGTGTTAGACTTATTTTTGGTAGCCAATTGAAAATATTGTAAATGAATTTTTAAAATCTAATTTTCGTTGGTTGCTAAACTATCTCATTAGTTCTAACAATTTGTGTGTCAAGTATCTTATTTTCTTTGAAGATAATCTATCATCTACAAATAATAACAACTTTGTTTCTTTATTCTTAGGTCTTATGCACTTTTCCCTCACCGTACTCTAGTGGCTAGGATCTGTACTTCAATGTTGAATTAATGTGTTGATAGCTTCTTAAGGCTATATGATCCTTAATTTTTTCTGATTTTAAAGGGAATGCTTCTAAAATTTCTCAGTTAAGAATGATGTTTGCTCCCAGCTTGGGTAGATAGCCCTCAGCAGTCTACAAATGCCCTTATATTTCCAGTTTGCTATGGTTTTTACATGGCCAGTTGAAAGCTATTTTTGAATTCTTACCATGTATGTGCTCTGTATGGCAGCCTGTGGGCATCAAAGAAGTGGACCCTGTCATCAAGAAGCAAAAAAAAGTCCCCATTGTGAAAAGTAATCCTCATCCCTTGAGTCACACATGACTTTATAAAAAAGAAGATGCTGGCCCTGGCTGGTATAGCTCAGTGGATTGAGCGTGGGCTGCGAAGCAAAGTGTTGCAGGTTCGATACCTAGTCAGGGCACATGCCTGGGTTGCAGGCCACAGCCCCCAGCAACCGCACATTGATGTTTCTCTCTCTCTTTCTTCCTCCCTTCCCTCTCTAAAAATAAATAAATAAAATCTTTTTTTAAAAAAGAAGAAGATGCCACAGACAGAAGGTAGAATGTGGATGGGGGGTGGGGGTGGCAGTGACCACACAGCCAAAGGCTTCGTGGAGAGGCAGGACTTGAACTAAACAAAAGGGTTTTCAAGGTTATGGGGAAGAAGGGCATGCTCAGAGGAAGGGAGACAGGAGCACGGTCCCAGAGCGAGACACGTGCCTGAGCTGTGTGCTGGCCCAAGAACCGGGGGCTGTGCGGCAGCACTGCAGGCCATCGTGCCAGGGAAGGGCCCCGCTTTCTTTCTCTCCCAGACACCTGCACTGCACCCGGAACTACATCCACCTGAACCTGTTTGCGTCCTTCATCCTCCGAGCACTGTCCGTCTTCGTGAAGGACGCGGCCCTCAAGTGGATGTACAGCACGGCTGCCCAGCAGCACCAGTGGGACGGGCTCCTCTCCTATCAGGTGTGTGGTGTGTCCAGGAAGGACCTGGGGCGGGATGGGTGGTTGGGGAAGGCTATTCTCCCCCAGCCCACCCAGGCCTGACACAAAAAAAGGCAAGAGCTGCCCAGGCCTGGTCCTCAGGAAGTCCCCAGTCTGACGGGAGAGGCAGTGCACCCGTGGGAGTCCCAGGAGGGAGGCAGGGCCCCTGTCCTTAGGGAGTTCTCAGTCTGACACAGGAGAGTGGTCTTTGAAGACAGACCTGGATTGGAAACCCAGCTCTGCCACTTACTGGCTGTATAGTTTTAGGCAAGTCATTTAACTTCTCTGAGCTTCGGTTTTCTTACCTGATTGGGGATAATATTAGTTTCTTCCACCCAGGACAGTGAGGATTCAATGAGCTGAAGCAGGTCGGGAGGTCAAGTTCTTAGCATTAGCGCTGGCCAGGTGTTAGCTCTCTTACCCTACTTCCACCGTGGCAGGCAAGCAGCTGGGGCAGGAGGGGGAGGGTGGTCAAGATAGGCAGGGGCAGAGCTGTTGTCCCCTGGAGACCCTTCCTCTGCCCCCAGGACTCTCTGGGCTGCCGCCTGGTGTTCCTGCTCATGCAGTACTGCGTGGCGGCCAATTACTACTGGCTCCTGGTGGAGGGCGTGTACCTGTACACGCTGCTGGCCGTCTCAGTCTTCTCGGAGCAGCGCGTCTTCAGGCTCTACCTGAGCATAGGCTGGGGTAAGGCCCACCGCGCCATTCATCACACCTCCCAGCCCGACCTGTGGCGTGCGGGGTGGGCGATGCGGACCCCTCTTTGAACCGCTGCCTTCAGGCTGCCCCTGCAGCACCAACTTGGTACTCAGAACACACTGCTGGGCCAAGGCACAGGGCCCACCGGACAACTCTGTCCTGGGCACAGGGCTTACTGCCCATGGGGCTGTCGAGACACTGCAGGGGTCATGGTTACCCTCCCTCATTTTCATAACCCGTCTCCCTTATGGAAGCACAGGGTTCTGCTCTGGCCAAATCCACTGCATACACCATCGGCAGTCCTGCACTGTCCTTGAGCACCACTGCTCCTAACACCCTCTGGGGACGGAACCCGCACCCAGTCAGTTCTGGGCAGCGCAGGCCCAGAGGGAAATGGAGAATCCTGGGCCTCAGGGTGGGGGGTTTCCTGGGTGGGGGCTGAGGGCTCTAGCTCTGTCACATGGTGATGAAGAGGATGGCTCACAGGAGAGCAGGGAAGGTGGCAGAAGCCAGCAGAGGGAAGGGTGGACCGCTGATGTACCTGGAGCCCAGCTGGAAATGTTCTAGCCAACAAAGTTTGCCAAGAACCATTGCATCTTTTTTTTTTTCTGTAACATTTCTGGTTGTGCTTCTGCCTCTCCCTCTGTGGGATTCCAATGAGAAAGGGGTGGGATGGGGAAGGGCCTGGGACACCCAGCAGCAGCAACTCCCCGGTCCCCTCACTACCAGAAAACAGATGCAACGGGGCTTGGTCTGGAGCGGCCAACAGGCCCCCGCTGGGATGGAGCCAAAGAGGGCCATGCCATCGGCTCCTCTCTGATCTGCCATGTGCCTGCCCTGGACCCCACAGAACACTCTCTCCAGCTTGCCATTCATCCATTTACTCCTCTCATCCCTTCATTCACCCACTGCAGGCTGCTCCCGGGGACTTCCACCTCAGTCACAGCCACCCCCCTCCCTCAGAGTCCCTTGTCCCATACTGGCTTCTGCCCCTGGGCCTTTGCAAGGCTGTCCCAGTCCAGCCCACCCCTCTGGAGGCCAAGCAGGTTGCCTGGCCCCCTGGCTCTGTGCTCTCTCTCACGCTTCATTGGTTTTTGCTGTTGTTCCTCAGCTACCTGGCTCAGTGTAGCCCCAGTGTGGAAGAGCACCTCTAAGGGAGCTTCAATGTGATCAATGTTTGAGGGCACGGAGGCCCAGGGAGGTCAGGGCCTTACGGACAGAGCAGGCGCTGGAAGTAGGCCTCCTGAATCCCAGGCTCTGGGCCCCGATGCCTGTCATGTGGTCTCTAGCCTACACTGTACCTCCTCTTCAGTCCCCTGTGGACCCAGCTGAGCAAGCGGTGGACCTAGCCTCTGTACTCAGCTCCCTGCTCCCACCCTTCCTCCCTCCTCCCTGCTGAGCCTTCCTGCTCTCCGAGGCCTCTTCACCCCACTAGAGCAGTCAGACCGGTGGCAGTGGGCAGCTGGAGAGCCCTGCAGCTAACTAGGGGCGGGTACAGGCTAGGCCATAGAGGAGAGCTCTGGGAAGGCTCTCCTCAGGGTGGGGGACAGTGTCTGTCCATTCTGGGAAACAGCGTCAGCACTGGTAGTATCTGTCACCATGGTGACCTGAGGATAGGAATAATCAAAGGGACCTTGTGATATGAGCAGTGGAGTGGGGGTGGTTGGTGGAGGACTGGTGGGAATACACAGGGCCCTGAGGTCTCTAAGTAGGAGATGGGGGAGGGGCTCCAGTCCTTTCCCACCACCTCACTCCCCTGCTCAGGGCTCGGGATCTGAGGGGGTATAAGTGCAGGAACTGGGGCCCCCCCTCTCCCATCAGAGCATCCTTTTCTTAAGGAACAAAGACAGGACAGAGAAAGTCTCAGAGAGCCATTGCGCTGTTGTGACACCAGGAGGCCTAGCCTGCATTGGTGTGCTTAGGAAACAGTGTGCACCTTCATGTGTGAGCAGAAGGATTAAAGTCAGGACTCCAGCACAGTCTGGGGAGTTCCCAAAAGGCATGTCAGCTGCTGCCACAGCCCATGGCGGCTGAGTACCCCCATAACCCCCATGAGGAGGCTGTACAGGAGGGAGGCAATTGATGGACGAGGGCCTCCTTACTTCTTGGAGCTGGTTCTGTGAGTCTTACTTAATTCCAGCTTTTTTCCTCTGGCCTATCTTGTTGATTTTCTAAACGGGAGAAAAATGAAGCCAGCAGGGAGTGTGTAATGTTTGCATGTGACAGAGCTGTGCCTGTGTTTTTAAAAAGACTCTGTTACAGAGATGGTGATGAATGAATGAAGTTCCCCAGGTCTGGTAACATGAGTGAGCTCCTCAGTCCTGGAGTGGGGCTTCTGGAAGCAAGGACAGCATGTGGCTGGGGGTGACCAAGAAAGAGGTTTCTGTATGTGTGTGTGGCTCAGGGAGTTGTTCTTGCCTGAAGACCTTCCCTTCTTTAACTGATATATTGGCTTCCTCATCATTCATTCATTCATTCATTCCATTATCATTGAGCATCTTCTATGTGGCAGACTCCACACTATATGCGGAGGGAACCAGGTGCCCTTTGGAGGGCACCTGTCCCTTGCCCAGTCTCATGAAAGCCTGTTACTAATGCAGCATGGGTGCTGAGAGGCCCATTGTATTCAAATAAATGGCCAAGGAGAGACATATCTGATGAAGCTGTGGCGTCTCTGTGTCCTCCCTCCCTGTCTGCAGTTGTCAAGCACAGCAGCTCTAGGCATATGAGCTGCTGTTGAGAGGACATCATGTGTTGAGGATCTGGATGATGGTGGCAGGAAAGGCTATGAAGTATGTTCTGCCTTGGAAATGTGCTGCTGGGGGAGGACCCCACAGCCACACATGCACATGCATCGAGCCCTTCATCCCATACAGGCATCTGTGCCCACACACCTGAATATGCACACTTTTACCTATCTCAGACACCACACCTCCAACCCTGAGAGAGGCAGTCATAAAGACAGGCATGGAGAGAGTTAGTAGAGAAAGCCATTGAGGGTGGCTGGCATGGGCATGGGATTGCAGTCCTGCGTCCTGGTCCCACCTGTACCTTCCTGAGCTCCTGATCCATTGCCATCTGTCACATGAGGATGGACAGTCCAGTTATAAGCCAGCAACACACGCTGAGCTCTCAGGGTGAGCTGAGCACTAAGGCTCTGAAGACAAACGAGGTTCTAATTGGAAACCAGTTGCATTAGTTGCCTATCACTGCAAACAAATGACCCCACAACTCAGCTGCTTAAAACAAATATCATCTTGCAGTTTCAACGGCCAGGAATCTGGGTTCAACTTAGTGGGCCTCTGGTCCAGGGTCTCCCACAGAGATGCAGTCAAGCCATCAACCAGGATAGCTGCCATCTCAAGGCTTAACTGGGGTTGGAGAATCCACTTCCAAGCTTCACTCATGAAGCTGAGCACAGGAAGCTTAGGACCTGGTTGGCTGTTGGGTGGAGGCTTCCATTCCTTGCCACAGGGGCCTCTCCATAGGTAAGTGTCCTCATGACATGGCAATAGTGTCCTCCAGAGTGAGTGATCACACTGAGAGAGCCCAAGACAAGCCTTTTCTAACCTTTCAAGACTCTTTTATAACCTACTATCAGAAGTAACACGCCATCACATCTGTTGTGCATCATTGGTCACACAGACCAACCATGGTACAAGGTGGACTGTGCCAGGGTGTGACCACCAGGAGGTGGGGATCTTTGGGGGCCGTCCCAGAGCCTGCTACCATGCCAGTCAAGTCTCAGCCAAGTAGAAGTGCTGTTATTGTGGTTGTTACTGCGGGCCACCATGCACAGTTACTTGGGCTGCTGGCATCAAGGACAGGGCTCCTATTTCTACTCCAGGCTCTTCCAGGCCACTTGCAGATGTGTGTGGGCAGGGAACAGGTGACTGGCAGGGCGTCCGGTACCTGGAAGGAATTGGCGGAGATGGGCATGTGGGCTGAGGCAGTGGGAGAAAGGCATCAGAGGGCTGGCCTGTTCCCTCCTCATCCCCTGTGTTGTGCCCACTCCCATGGCTCTGTCCCTCTGCTGCTGGGATGTCTGTGTCCCTGTGTCCCAGCCAGAATCCTGGGGACAAGCTCTGACCGTATGGCTGGCCCATGCAAGGGGCAGGCTGGAGAGCTGGAGCAAAGACACAGTGTGATGGGGACCCTGGAAAGGAAGAGTCTGGGGAGTCGGGGGTGGGGCGTCATTCCTGCTGACTCTTCTTCATGCACCTGGATCATCCTAGTTCCATACCTTCTAGAAAGTGTGGTTTGGGGCCAGGCAAGGGGAGGGGCTGGAGGTGGAGGAGGCCAGGGTAAGGAGAGGCTTTCCAGGTGTGCATGGCGGTGGCTCTGGCCTGCCAGCCCCTCTCCCCTCTCTCTTTCCTCTCTGCTCTTAGGTGTTCCCCTGCTGTTTGTCATCCCCTGGGGCATTGTCAAGTACCTCTATGAGGATGAGGGGTGAGTGTCCTGCTCCTAGGGGTGAGTGTGGGGATATCCCCCCTCCTCATGTGGCTCCTTGGCCCCTGGGGCATGTGGCTATGGTCTGTTGGGAGGATAAACTGAGGGACTAGAGCTTAATTTATGACTTTAGTTCTCTATTCCCCCTGTCTACCCAAATCAACTGGTGCTGGGCCTGGGGGCGGTATGTGGCGCCCTCTGCAGGTTCCTTTGTAATAACTGTGAACAGTGTCATTTTGTGTGGTGCCTGGTACACAAATGATCATGTTCACAGGTTCATGCAGGGGGTGTGTGTATCTCTGTGTGTGTGACTGTGTTTCTATGACTGTGCGCATGTGTGAGTGTGTGTGTGTCTGGAAGGGCTTTGTGTGGGTCTGTGGGACTGGTTGTTGGGGAGCTCCCAGACACAGTATTTGTGTGACTCAGTGTGTGTCACTGTGTCTGCCTGCACGTACCTCTTGTTCCTGTGCCTGACTGTGAACTGAGGTCTGTGTCCAGCCGGGTGCCTGTGTGTGTCCTCTCCCCTCTCCAGCTGCTGGACCAGGAACTCAAACATGAATTACTGGCTCATTATCCGGCTGCCCATTCTCTTCGCCATTGGGGTGAGTGGCAGTGTGGGGGTGGCCCTGGGGTGTGCTGGGGGGAGGACTGGGGAGATTGAGAGTTTTGAGAAGGCCTCCAGACACCCCACTATCTGCCTTGCAGGTGAACTTCCTCATCTTTGTCCGAGTCATCTGCATTGTGGTATCCAAACTGAAAGCCAATCTCATGTGCAAGACAGACATCAAGTGCAGGTGATGTAACTGAGCTGGCTTTGCTGGGCGCCCTCGGCCCCTCCTTCCAGCAGAGACAGAGATCCTGGGGTGCTGAGCTTGGGACCCTACATCATGACCCTCTCCCCCCTGGGCCTGGTCTGGGACCCCAAGTCTTACCCTCATCCCTGTACCTGGGCAGCTTTGGGGCTTCTGAGTGGGGAGGTGGCTCGACCTCTACGTCCTCCCCTCCAAGTAGCCTATCCCAGGGCACTGGGGGCGGGCGGGTGTCTGTCGCCCAGGTGCCAGGCTTGGTGGGGGTTGAGGGCACAGAAAGGGGAGAAGAGGTCATGGGAGAGGTCCAGAATGACACCTCCACCCTACCCCCAGACTTGCCAAGTCCACGCTGACGCTCATCCCCCTGCTGGGGACCCATGAGGTCATCTTTGCCTTTGTGATGGACGAGCACGCCCGGGGGACGCTGCGTTTCATCAAGCTGCTCACAGAGCTCTCCTTCACCTCCTTCCAGGTGACCTCATGGCTAGGGTCCCTCTCTTGCAAAGTCCCAGAGTGGGGGTGGGGCAGAGACAGGCCTGTTCCAGGCAGATAGGCAGCCTGAGGCCTAGAGCACAGTGGTGCTTGCCCAATGTTACACAGGTGGAGCAGAGCCTGAGCTGGAATCCCCAGGTGTCCCAGTGCCCAGGCCAGTCTTTTCTATAAGCACATTGGGCAGGAAGCATTCCCAGATGTAGCTGTGGGCACCCAGCCTGGCATCTACTGAACTGCTACCGGTGGGGGGCTGCCCTGTCAGCTGGTTTATACACACTATGCATTTAATCCTCACAGAACCCCAGGGGGGTATGCAGGATTATTCCCATTATACAGAGGAGGAAACTGAGGCTCAGAGGTGTTAAAACCGATTTGCATAGTCACAGAGTTTCCAAAGTTAAGAATTGATCCTCTCCTCTGGTATTAGATGATGCTGCAGGGCTGGGAGTGCCGGTGGGTGTGTAGAAACATAAGAAACTGGTCCTAGCCCCATAAGGAGGCTTATGGGATGGCCACCAGCATGTGGGCCATGTGTGTGCACTTGTACATACACTCATACACACGTGCATACGCACATGCACACACACATCAGAGTTCTAGAGCATGCGTCACTTGAGTGAACAAATGGGGCAGGGGCGGGGCCAGGGAAAATTCCCCACAGTCACAGGTGGTGTCCTTTCTGGGGTCACGTGTCCCTCAAAGAAGGGGTGAGTGAAGAGCTATGCAGTATCTGGGCAAGAGGGCTTCTTGTTCCTCCAGATAGGAAAGGAGAAGGGGCTGCCACCCCCACCTCTAGGGCTGCCCAACCTGAGCAGGGGGTGGTTGGGCTGGAGCCCCGAGGAGCTTGAGACTAGGGCCTGTCTGCAGGGCCCCACCCTCCTGCTCCTTCCCTGCTGATGTGACTCTTGTTTCCAGGGGCTGATGGTGGCTGTCTTGTACTGCTTTGTCAACAGTGAGGTAAGGCTTGAGGGGGGACGTGGGGACCCTGCTGGGCTGCTGCCATTGGCCGTTCTGGAGTTGTGCCCTGGGGACTCCCTTCAGCCTGTTCAGCTCAAACCCCCTACTCTCCAAACCTGTGGAGGCATCTTGTCCACGTATTCTGTTTTCTGTGCATGGGTAGGTCTCTATCTCTCATACACTCACACACACACGTGTGCATGTGTGTGTATGTGTGTGTGTGTAGGCATACCCTAATCATCTGTGAGTTTGGGGAAGACCCCAAACTCATGTTAAGCCTCATGTTAAGTGAGTAGGTGGTGGTGACTGTTACAAAGTTATTCAGCAAACATGCCCAAGTTCATGCCCAGACATGCATTCAACAGACTTGGGGCTTTAATAATCACTATCTCGTTTTGTTGTCAAAGCCTCTTCCCCCCAAAAATCCCTGCTAAAGTTCTGGTTCTGATATTCCCATTGTTCACACCTGAGGACACTGAAGGTCAGAGAGACTGAGAAACATGCCTGGGTTTGGTCTGGAAAGCATGGCAGAGCCAGGGTTCAAAGGGACTCTGCCTGAGGAAGAAAGCCACCTGTCCTCTATGTGTGCAGGCAAGAGCCTGGTCTACCTGGGAGGGGCGTGGGTTCCCAGGGGCTCTCTGGTTGCTGGAGTGGGAGGACGTTCTTGCTGGCCCCACACCGTCTCCTGCAGACCCTGCAGGACCGCAGCCCACCCCTCTCTGGGACGGCCAGCTCCTGGGAAGAGGGGCTGTCTGTCTGTGGTGCCATCGAAATGGTTTCCACAAATGCCACAGCCCCTCCACCCCCCACCCCACCGCATTTCTTTCCAGAGGAGAAAACAAACAATAGTCCTCCTCTGGGCAGCACAGAGCCACCTGGGGAAGTTTCTACAGGAAGATTAACCCCCAGCAGGGACAGGGGTGTAGGCATCCCCCTGACCCCATAGTCCAGGGGGAAACTGAGGACTCTCTTCACTCCATTCAGCCCCAGGTAAGGGTTTGCATCCATGGGGCTGGAGCTCAGGTGACCCAGGGACACTATTCGTCAAAGAGCCAGCACTCTGTGTAGCTTCTAGGTCACTGAGTCTGGGATCCTGGAGCTCAGAGATCTTAAGTCTGTGCAGTAATGCAAATTTTACTTCTGCAGTGGGTGTGGGGGGCACGAGGAGCAGTGGGTGGGAACCTTGGTGCTTCAGGGACCTGTGAGATGGCTCCAGGCAGCAATGTGATGTCGCAGGAAAGATGAAGGATGTGGGCTCTAGCGTCAGATCTCTGCTCTGATCCAGGCCACCTCACTTAATGATCTGTGTGACTTTGGGCAAGTTACACACCCACTCTGAACCTCAGTTTCCTCATCTACAAAGTGGTGGTAATAATGCACACAGCATGTGGACGCCAGGTCTCTAAAAGAGAGGGAAACATTTCCTGAGCACTTGCTGTGTGTTAGGTTTTATTAAACCCAATCCTGTGCAGCAGACTTTATCTGCATTACACAGATGAGGAAATTAAGGCTCAGCAAAGTGAAATGAATAGTCCCAATCCAATGGCTAGGAGGTGGCAGAGCTAACAGGCAGTGGGAGGGGTGCCATGCATCAGAGCTGCTGTGGCTGGGGTGGTGGAGGCAGCAACAGGCAGGGGGTGGCCCATAAATGGGCTCTGGCTGTTCCATGGGCAGGTCTCAGAGGGCTGGCCAGAGTCCGTGTGGGGTAGGCTGGGTGAGGAGGGAAGGCGGGTGGGTGTACAGGACACTCAGGGGTGGCATTCCCTCTAGGAATGGTTCTTGGCCAGAGGGAAGATGTGCCACCCAGTCCTAAGCTCAGCTGCTTTATTCTCTGGGGGACAGGGCAGGCTGGCAGGTTACCCCCATGTGGGATGGGGACAGGGGGACAGAGGCCTGTGGGGGAGGAGTGGGGCTCCCTGCTGCCACCTTCTCACCCCCCAGCCCCCCCCTTCCCACTTACCCATCCCCTTTCCCCAAAGCCACGCTGGTGGCACACACTCACTCCTGCCCCCACTTGCACTCCCACTTTTGTGGAGCATGTCACCTAAACCGTGACTCAGTTGCTTCTCCTGATTCCAGTCCTTAAAGCCCAGTTGCCTGTCACCTCCCCCTCGCCCTCCTCCCAAGACTGGCTGAGCTGTGAGGAGGGAGAGTGGGCACATACCCCTACTCTGCCCTTGGCAAATAAGCAAATCACCAGATTCCCAGCTCACCTCTCCCCTGGGGGTCTTGGGAGTCTAGGAGGCCTGGTTCAGGGGACCCGGAGAGCCTGTTTCGCTTAACTGCACCTTTAAACCCTCCTGGAGCCACCTTGTGCCCTGGCTCCACCAGGCACAAGGACAGACTTGTCACCATCACTGGTCCACAAAAGCATATTGGCCCCTGGGCTGAGGCCTCTGCCCACAAGAGCTGTTCTCCATACCCAGGGTTGCCATGGCAGTGCCAGGTACTCGTGGCCCGAAGAGAAAAGATGGCCTGAACGTTGGTCCTGCATGCCTGCCAAGGCCCACACCTGCTGCTGATGGGTGGGGAGCGGGCCCAGGGCGGGGAGGCCAGGGGTGGATTCGTGGCAGCCCGTGTTCTCTCACTGTGGCTCTAGACCCTGGAACCCGAGTGCTGGTGCAGTGCTGACACTGCCTGGCCGTGTGGCCCCGGCAGTCACTTTGCCTCTCTCCCCAAGTGCAAATGGAAGTGATTGAGCTTTACCAGTTCATCCCAAACCCCAGAGCCTGGCACGGTACCTGACCAAAGAGGCCGTAGGAGGCAGGATAAACCTGGGGGCAAGGGCCCTGACCAGTGCCGGAGCCGTGTCCAGATTTGCATTGTTGTCTTTGTTGGTCCGTTGTAATAACCCAGTATCGAGGAACCCAATGTCAGATGTTTATTTGATGCTTATTAGATGCTTACTTGTTCGTTCATTTGGTTCATTGCAACAAACATTTATCCAGTACCTACTGTATGCTGGGTGCTGTGTCAGGGTCAGGACAAGTGGGATGAGGGAGACGTGGTGCTAGCCCTCTCGGCACTCCCAGCTGAGTTCCAGGGCAGCCCAGCCGGTCGTGGGAGGCCGGGGCCAGTGGTGAGGAGACCAGCTTTGGAGGCAGTTCAGACCAAGGTTCAAATCCTGGCTGAGACCTGGAGAAATACTTACATACTCTGCACCTCAGTTTCCTCTAACAGGAGCTACTTCCCAGGGTTGCTGTGAAATTTAAATAATCCATAGAAAATGCTGGGTGTTTAGTAAGCTCCCAATAAATGATGCTTTTTAATGATAGGGACCACAGCCAACACTCAGAAAAGCACTGAGGGAGATGGGGACAGAGGGCATACCAGTGTTAGCGCTCTGACAAGTCCTGGTCCTGACTGATGTCCTGCTGGCATCCATGAGACCTCTTCAGTCCCTGAGGTGGCTTCCCAGGGATGTGCCTCAGTTTACCATCTCTCTCCTCCTCTCCCCAGTTAAGGGCCATGAGACAAGTTTGGCCTTCCTTGATGCTGCACAAGCAGAGGCCACGATTGTCCTCAGATGTCCCTATCCTAGCTGTCAACACACACACCACACACACTTAGCTGGGCAGGGAGCTGGCAGGCAGCAGGGGGCTACACGTGGTGTCTACGCCATCTCCCACACCCAAGCCCCGGCTGCATGATGCTGCCTGGGATACCGGGTCCATCCTGCAGGCAGGCTCTGGCATCTCAGCTCCAGTCAGCGCAGAAAACATCCTTTTAAGGGAAGGCATGCAGCCTCACCAGACGTCTTGATGGGCTGAGCTAGTGGATGGCAGCCCTTGCAGCAGGAGGAGAAGAGGGGTGTTTGTATGGGGACTAATGGGGGCATTGTGAGCTGCGTACCTGCAGCTGCTGCCAGCTGGCCATCCCAGTGGCTGGGGCCTAAGAGGAGAGAATTGGGTCCCAGACATCCTGATGTGGGGAGGCCTGAGGGCAGGGGCAGGGGACATCAGAGAAGTTCCCGGAAGCACACTTGTGGGAAGGTCCCCTAGAAGAGCCTCCCAGATGCCCTGAGCTGGATGTGCAGGAGCCAGCAGACCCTCTGGGGGGACCTAGATCACCACCGAGTTGCCACAAGCCTTTAGGTGACTTAGGGATCTGCAGTAGTAGTTGCATTTGATCTTTATGCCCAACAACAAGGTCCCAACCATCAGCCCTCTTGAAAAAGCTCTTCCTGATGAGAGGCCTGAGCCCAGCATAGCAGGGATTCTGGTTGACTGAACTCACTTGGGGACTGGGACTAGTTCCTGGATGGGATTAGTTCAAATACAGGCTGAGAAGCCCTGGTCCACAGCCACCGCCTCACTGCTGGCACCAGGCTCAGCCTCATTCCATCCTGTCCTCCTTCCTCCCCGTGAAGCCCCTGGGGAGTTTAGGTGAGTCCGCTGTGGGCACCGTGAGGGGTGGGGGCCTGCCGTCCCCTTCTCTGTCGTCCAAGCTGAAACCTGGAGAGAGCGCTCCGAAGTCATATTCTCTCTCTTCTTCCTCCCTCTCCCTTCTCCATCTCCCCGCATGTCTGCCTCTTCCGTTAAATAATACTGTGATGGATTGTAAAAGGTACTTAGCTGAGTCAGAGTTTAGAGATGGAAGAGACCAATTAAATCATCAAGCCCATCTCTCTCCTGAGGAGAGGCAGAAAATAGGAGACAACAATAAACAACTTTATTGGGATATTAATTTAGGCGCCCGAAGGCCTTGACTTGTGTCTCTTAATATAATGCAGTGGATTTTTCCCCTTCCCTCCTAATGTAATAACGGGGCCATTCTGTGGGCAGTTGGTTGCATGATGGCTTTTGTTTCCCTCCTTTTCCCACGGAAGGTCCAGATGGAGTTTCGGAAGAGCTGGGAGCGCTGGCGTCTTGAGCACTTGCACATGCAGAGGGACAGCAGCATGAAGCCCCTCAAGTGTCCCACCAGCAGCCTGAGCAGTGGGGGCACGGTGGGGAGCAGCATGTACGCAGCTACCTGCCAGGCCTCCTGCAGCTGAACCTCCAGCACCCACCCGCCTGTGGTCCCACTGCAGGCGGGCTGGGAGGCCATCCCAGGTTGGGGAGACCCTCCTGGGGTCGGGGAAAGGAGGAACACACACACATACATCCCTGCTTCCCCTTCCCCAACCCATCAGACAGGCAAATGGGCAGTGCCTCCCGGGACCTGTGGACGCATTTTCTCTGAGGAGAAGCAGCCTGTTAATTTGATCACTGTGGCGGGAAGAGAGGAAAAGCTATTGCTGCTAAAATGAGGATTTCTTCCCGTTAAGCCACAGGCCCCTGGGGTTCCCCCAGACAGAGCAGCAAATCAGCCCCAGACTCAAACTCAAGGTCAATGGCTTATTAGTGGGATGTGGCTTGTCAGAGGAGGTGGCTGGGAAAGAGGCCACTATAACCTCAGCCAGACACAGAGCTTGGGTAATACAGGCCGGCTCCGCTAGCCTCGGGTGGGGGTCGCCACCCCCATCTGTCTCCTCATTAAGGGATGTTGTTCATGTGTTCGGGTCACTTGTTTCCCTCAGCTTACACCCTCATCTCTCCACCCAAGTTCTGTTTGGGGAGGTTTGTTTGGGCCATAGCCAGCAGCTGTTTCTAGGGTTTTCTTTGCTGGTGTCCAGTTTCCCCTGGGCATCTGTAAGAATTGCTTTGGTGCCTGCCCCTGCCATGCCCAGGGAACCAGGGCAGGCCCACGGCCAGGGAGCCCAGCCCCAGGTATGAGCTCCGAATTCTATTCTAGAGATGCTCAAGAATCCTCTGGGGTCTCCTGGGGAATGTTAGCAGTGTCCAGCCTGGGGGCTTAGATTACCTGCTGCTGTCAAGAACCCAGAGGGCTGAGAGAGTTGCCTGCACCACACCATGGAAATACTTTATTTCTGACCAGATTCTCCCTCATGGGAGTTCGGGTGGGTGCCTCCTCTAACTTTAGGGAATGTGACCAAGAAGAGACTCTTATGGGACAACTGCCAGCCCCCACTGTTACCATGGAGACAGTCTTCCCCTGCTCTGGGTCTTTCTCCCTCTGAAATCCCTCCCCCACAACTTGGGAGGCTGTATAGACTTCAGTCATTTCTCTTTATTGCTGCAAATAGTCTGTATGTGCAAACGTGCCATTCTGATTTCTCCCACCTGGTGAAAACAAGAACTAAATAACCGTGGAGGTTGTGATGTTGTTGGGGGGAGTGGGGTAGTCCCTGATTGTACTCCACCCTTAGAGCTTATTAACATTTGCCCTGCCTCCAGTCTCACCCCATAAATAGAGCAGAAACCTATCAGTCCTGCCCCAGCCATGGGGAAAGCAGACACACAGCTGCGCTATGGATTCCCAGAGAAAAGGGAACCAGTTGACCCTGGGGGGCTGGTGACGGAGTGCATGGGTGCCAAGGATGTTTCCAGAGCAGGAGAGCACTCTTGGGAGTCATGACCTCCCGGAGAGCAGAGTGAGAGGCTGCAGATGAGTTCCTTTATGAGTCCATCTCTCCTTCCTCATCCTTTTTATGTGGTGGGAACCCTCCTCCAAAACCATGCATTCTCTTGTGCCCCTCAGAGAGGCATATGATGTGCAGGGAGAATAATAATGGGACATAAAACACATCAAGCAGAAAATTTCTTATACTTCAGCTTTAGTGTGGTGTGTATGTTAATAGGGAAGTGGGGCCTCAGGCAAAAGAAAGGAGTGTGCACAGACTGCCTCCCTAACTGTTGGGGACAAGGCCATTCCTGCTTCCCCGAGATCAGGGCCGACTTCCTGGTCAGTGCCTCGCATTTGGCTTTCTCTTTGGGGGGGGTAGTGGGGAAGATGAAAACTGGTGGGCTGATGGGGGGTACAGCTCTGGTGCAAGCGTTTTGGCTTTGGATAAATGAAAATTTAGTGAATATTAATCTGCACAGCAGCAAAGAGACACATTGATACTATCTGTGAGAAATAAATTGTTCAGGGGAAGAATTGTGGGGAGAATAAATAAATTGTGTTTAGGAGGCCCTGGGAAACTCATTCAATTTGGTTTAAACTGTAAGTAGAGTTCTTTTCCCAACTGGTACCAGTGATTTCTGATTTCAGAAGGCTCATCACACCCCACACTCCAAACCTTTTAACACTGAGTAACTTTTTCCTTCTTGGATACATGCCCGATACTGAACTGAAGGAAATATTTTCTCTGCTCCAAGATCCACACTATTACTATTCATTTGAACTGCAGTGCACTCCTTCCAAAGCTATCCCCAAACCCTCCTAAGTAAAAAATAACTCTAATAGGTCTGGGAACTATGAAATGCAGTGTACTCTGAAATTCAGCTAGCTGTTTACACACCTGATGCCCTAAGTCTGGAGCTTGCTGAGTACATCCTTGCCTGCCTCTGTCCTGGGGACATTGCTGCTGACCAGCAGGGTGTGCACACTGGGAGCTGTGCAGCCCACGAGGTCTGAGTTCAGCACTCTGGCCAGCTCCCTCGAATTATTAGGGGCTTAAATCCTGGCAGTTTGTCTTTACCATTTCAATCTTTGGAGCAGGTAAATCACAAAACTGAAACAAACCACATGTTGCAGAGTTTCCTTCCATTTTGAAGAACTTCTCACATTGTGGGAATGATTTTCAATTGCCTCTGTAATTCTTGCTGCAGACCAAACCAGTAGAGTTCTCGGACTCAAGAGCAGGGAAAGACTGGAGACCCATCATCCTGCTCTCAGCTACAGAAGTGAGGAGGGAGGCTTGCAGAGGTGACTTGCCCAAAGTCACAGTGCTACATGGTGGCAGAGCTGGGCTAGGACCCAGGCCAACTCTTGTCTCTCAGATAAGTGAGGCTTCTGGGAGGGACAGGTGAAAAATATAATGGCCACACAAGATGCTCTAAAGTAAAGTTCAGCCATGTTATTTGGGGTTTCCATTAAATGGTAAGGAGCAGCAAATATGTGGTGAAGGTACCATCTCCTTGATGACTTACCCTACTGAGAGGAGGGGTAGATTGTGCTCTACTATCTCCACTCCAGTACATTCCTCCTTATCTTAAAATTAAGCAATGAAGTGTATAACAGCATGTGTATGCATAGAAACAGCAAGTGAGCCATTTCACATAGCAAATGCAGAGTTAATGGTTTGGCTTACTGTTTTTCTGATGCACCTGTTCTTGTTTGAGAAGTACAGATAGAAACACAGAGTGGACTAAAGGAACCTTAACAAAGGTCCTGAACCTCCCTTTCATTTCTGTAGTACTCCCTGAAATTGGAGAAGACCAGTAAACTGGGCAGCTTTGGCCTAGCAAAGGTGGCACAGCCACCACGAAAGGCAAGTAGAGTCAGTTCACATCCATGCCTGGAAAGACTGGTTACCTCATCAGTATGGGTCATGTTTCAGGAGCTTCCATCCCCATTCCCTCCAGTCTCTTTCTTGCACAAGCGAAGAACACTGTGTGTGTGTGTGTGTGTGTGTGTGTGTGTGTGTGTGTGTGTGTTTGTCCTGTGCATAGCAGCATAAAGTTAGGAGATGATGAATCCAGAATCTTCCCACCCACTGTGAAGGTCATGGGACCACACTACCCAGGGCGAGGATGGGTGAGAGCCTGAGCGATAGATGCTTCCTCTCCATGCACAGACAGGGCTCCCATTATCGCTAATGCCTGCTACGTGCTCCGGGAAGACAGAATCTATTCCAAAGGTTTATTGTTCCTCCACTGATTCTCATCTACAGTGCTGACCCTGCTTTTGGCTCCTTTGAGACAAACTTCATGAAAACCTCTAAAATATGTCATCTTACTCTGCTAAGACAACTATGTGAATGACATTCTAAATATGCAATAGAAACCAAATTAGTATCAACTCTTTTTCTTTCTTTTCACTTGAGCAAGTTTTCTTGGGAAACAAAATACCCCAATGTGAGAAACTTCTACAAACAGCAGCATCAGGCCCCTACAGTAGGACCTGCTGCTCAAACCAGCTCCCCAGCCCAGCGAAGAGAGCTGTATCAGGAAGTGTTGTAAGCAGTGTAATTGAAACACTTTACTTAATGCTGCAGTGTGTCTACAGTATCTATAATTACTTCTGCTCTGTCAATGGATACAGATTGGCAGGAAGCAGATAAGAATAATTGTTTTCCCATTAACTTCCCAAAGTCTCTTAGACTTGGCCTATATCTGAATCTGTCAGAGTGGAGTTTTCCCTCCTTTTGGCCATGTTAGCCAGCTTTTCAAAACCTCATCCATCAGTTGTGCATTTTCCTCTGATGCGTCCACCCCCACCCCCTCAACCCCCATCCCACAATGAGCTGCCCACACTCCTCCTCCTCAGTAATAAGTGACTCTGCCAGCCATGTTGTGAATGCCCTTCTCTCAGCTGTGACCAATTTGGGGGTGCAGCTGACAGGGAGGCGCTGCCAGGCCTGACAGTAATGCCCCACACTCCACACTCCAGCGCAGCCAGAGCACTGCCCCCAGCGCTTGGATCTGAATTTACACTGGGGTTATGCAATCTTTCTGAAGGGGCCTGTCAAAACCATCAGTAATTAGCCAACCCGGACAACCTAGCATGACTAATTATCACTGTGCCAAAGCAATCCAGCAGAAGAAAAACAGATAAATGAGAATATTTGGATGTAGGGAGAGAAAAGGTACCCACCAAGTTTGGAGCATAGAACATGTTGTTGGCTTCTTTGCCTGGCAGCCTGTGGAGCCGTGAAGAAGGGCCCTGATGCCTCCCAGACAGGCAGGGCTGTGTCTTGCCAGAGGGTGCACACTTTGTTTCCAAATTTGTAGTTCTATGCTCCTCCCACTAAAAATAATCACATCGTCCAAACCTCAACAATCCCTTTGGTTTTGGAGGGGGGGTTGATGAAATTATTTAAATGTACCAAAAGAGGTGAGAGCCAAGCTTGCTGGAGGGACAATGCTGAATTTCTGTCTTCAGTGCTTTTGTGGGATGTTTGCTCCTCATGAGTGTTCAATCGAGATCATGTTCATGCAATTTCTCCATGTAGAAATTCATGTGAAATACAACCTGCATCTACAGGTAGCAAATGTGTATGTATAATTCCTTGTACAGATGTGAACAGGTTCTGGCTCTTTCTTAATTTGCCTTGTAAGTGAAATAAAAGCCTGTCATTATTATGAGTTTCCTTGTTCTTCTTTTGGGAGAGGAGGTTCT